ACTGTGTTCATTTAAGTAGGAAATTTCTATACATATTAAAAGTTGGGTAAAAAAAGAAACACATTCTGAATGTACAGCCTAGCAAGGGGGGATGGGAGTGGGTAACAACTGGTCCACGGCCTGTGGAAAGCTGGAGAAATCAATCATTCAGTATATGATGGGACAGACACACCTCTTAATGCCTCTCTTTAGCTGTCCTCACCCATCTGCCGAGACTGATAATTTTATATGGCCCATGAATGATGTTATAAATATCCAAATGGCCCTTGGCAAAAAACAAAAAAATAAACCCAGCTGTCAACTGTAGGTTTCTCTGAATTTATAGGATGTAAGTTACTAGTGACAGGATTCCAGACCGTGCTATTACACTGTGTTCTAGGCAGTGGTGGGTTTCATCACTGACCTCTTATTTGGGCCTGTCCCATAACCACATTGCTTGTCCTGTGTTGCTTTACAGGTTCCAGTGCTTACCTGGACCTAAGGAAAATCCTACTTCTTTCACAACTTACTTCTTGATCATGATTCTTCCAGAATATATTTCTTTTCCATTCAACAGAAAAGATTTGTCATATGGAACTTTTGTGGCTAATTAAGCTTACATTTAATGAGAGATTCCTGGATTTCTACCAGAAATACTGAAAAGCACACCTAAAGTATAGGTTTTTGTTACAGAAATACAGTATATATGTTCATTTAAAAGTAAATGGACATGCAAACTGCATCTCCCTAGGAGATACATTTTATATACTTTTTGGTGTGTTTTTTTTTCCATTATGGATTTCTATTTTTCTCTTTTTTTTTTTCGGTGTCACTCTTCTCTGTGTTAATATCTTTCAAACTAGTCATGAGGCAAAACACCATGTCATGGATCTTGGTCAAGAAGCTCTTGGCCAGTCTTTAGGGTCCTCTAGAAATTAAGAAATAGTGGAATTATCACTGTGTGGTCTAACCAACTTCCTAGAATGCCATGCCTCCTGTTAGTGTTTTATGTTGTGGCTTTTGATAGGTGAGTTCATCTGGGTTAGCCAAGAGCCTGTCATTATTTTCAGTACTCTTCAGAATGCCCTTAAGCTACTTACATAATTTATGAGTTTCCATCGAAGCTAATGGTCAAGTCACTCCTCAGAAATCCACGCTTCTTAGTAATCCCCTAAACCAAATGCATACCTGTTGTCTTCCTCTGAAACTTACTTCTAACAGGGATCTCAATTTAAGTCTCATCAAGGCCTGATCAGTTCCTGACACCACAAGAAAACTTCATTCTAAGGCCTATTTATTGCCTTTAAAAAAATCCTTATGAAACTTCAAATTTGTACCACATCTTCTTATACAAAATTATATATTGTACTGTTCTAGCTGCTACATGTATATTAGTTTTGTCTCCCTCATAAGAATGTAAGCTCCTTAAGGGCAGGGACCAAGTCTTAATTTTTGTATCCACCACAGTGCCTAGCACAGTGCTTGGCACATGGGTGCTGAATAAATACTTTGTTTATTGATCAACAAACTATCTGGTATTTTTAATTATAAAGGAATCAATATGTATGCGTACAAACGATATTTAGTTGTGAGCTTCATGACTGTCTCTGGAAGCCAGAGTTGAGCACCTGAACATGATCAAAGCAATGGTTTTTTTTGTTGTTGTTGTTTTTTGCCAGTCATGGAGCCTGAACTCTGGGCCTGGGTGCTGTCCCTCAGCTCTTCAGCTCAAGGCTAGTGCTCTACCACTGGAGCAACAGCGCCACTTCCGGCTTTTTCTGTTTATATGGTGCTGAGGAATCAAACCCAGGGCCTCATGCTTGCAAGGCATGCACTCTACCGCTGAGCTACCTTCCCAGCCAAGGCAATGTTCTTTTCGTCTGTCATGGGGCTTGAACTCTGGGCCTGAGCACTGTCCTTCAGCTCTTCAGCTAGTGCTTTACCACCTGAGCCACAGCACCCCTTCGGTTTTCTGGTGGTTTATTGGAGATAAGAGTTTCACAGCCTTTCCTGCCAGGGCTAGCTTGGAATCGTGATCCTCAGATCTCAGCCTCTGAGTAGGTAGGATTACAGGCGTGAGCCACCAGTGCCTGGCAAGGGTAATGGTTTTGTGGTTAGACAAGTCAAACTGACCACCAGGTCATGGTCAGACCAGATAGGTCCACAGACCATCTGAGACCAGAATGAGATATATCTGACACATCATCTTTTGGAGGAATAGGTGGGATATTCTTTGAAGTATGTCAACATCCCTATATGAAAACACTGAACCACAAAAGACTTGGAGGGACAGATTTCTGACTACTAATGGGGATGTGGACAAAACATGTTTGATGCTTTTTTTTTTTTCTCCAGCTCTGTCCTCGTAGCTTTTGAGATTGCAGAATAGCTAAGTCACTAGGCCAGATATAATGGAGTTATTTATAGATGGGCTGCTTTGCCTACACCATTTTTTTCCTGGTCCTGGTCAGGACCTGAGCTCTGTCCCTGATTCTCTCTGTGCTCAAGGCTAGCACTATACCAATTGAGCCACAGTGCTGCTTCTAGCTTTTTCTTTTGACATGGTACTGAGGAATTGAACCCAGGGCTTTATGCATACTGGACAAGAACTCTACTACTTATCACATCCCCAGCCCCACACCATTTTTTAAATGGAATAAATATTTAAGATTAACATCACAAAAATATGGTTTGCTTTCCTTGAAATTGGAAGAAAAATGGCTGTAATGACAGCCAACACCTGTCAATGATTGGCAGCTACCTCTAGAGGCAGGGTATGTGTCCTATCTAGAGAGATGCTTTTACCCATTCATATTATGTACTTGGATTCTTGTAATCATTTGGAACATCCAACTCCTACATTCAATTACTTTGGACAGTACACTGGGAAATACTCCCACATTAGATTAGAATTTACTTTTTACTTTTTTCATGCCATTGGGACTTGAATGTTGGGCCTTGTGCCACTCTGCTTTTCCACTCACTTCTGGTGCTCCACTACTTGAGCCTCCACTTCTGGCTTTTTGCTGGTTAATTTGAAATAGTCTTTTAAGATCTATCTGCACAGGCAGGCTTTTAGAACCTTGATCCTTATTCAGCTTCCTGAGTTAAATAGGATTTTTAACTAGTGAACATGCTGAGTTTCCTGGAAATGGACTTCAGAAAATGTTCTTCACTTGAGTTGTGTATAATTTATTCTCTAGAGCTTGCATTTCTTTTTTTTTTTTTT